TGACAAAACTGCCAGGCCACTGTAATCAAATCTGACCCTGGAACCAAGGGCTCTTTCCCGAGTGGCACAAGCAGCAACCCGAGATCCAAGCGGCCACCCCGAGGATGCTCCCACCCTGCTCTTCCTGAGGCCCCTTCCCACTGCCACCGGCTCTGCAGGGAGGGGCGCCCCAGGCCAGACATGCACAAGGATGGGGCACTGCCCACCTGACCCCACCCCAGCCCCCTGTCTCCAGTCCCTGGGCTCAGACCACGAGCCAGGCCCTGGGGCTCCAGCCCCCTTGGGAGACGGGCAGGATCCGGCATGATGGGGGCAGAGAGGGCTGTGGAGGAGGCTGACCACTCCTCTCTCCACCACAAAGATCCTATTTCCCCCTCCTCTAAACCCCATTTGTATCTTTGATTCATGGTCTGCTTCCCACTTGCATCCTGCCCAATCCAATCACACACATTTGATTCACCCACGCTTGTGCCTTTCCACCTAAATTAAATGGTCCGTGAGGACACAGGCCAGATCGCCTTGTCCGAGCCCCAAGGGAGGCGACTCCGGAGCCCTCACTGCAGTGTCTCTGAGGCTAAAGGACTCGCAGTGTCCTTTGTGACCCTGAAACAGCCGCCACAGTGGGGAGGAGAACGCTGTGCCACCCAGGGAGAAAGTGCCACACGCCTGGTGGTCAGGGCCTAGGTGCTGGAGGCAGAAAGGCAATGTGAATGGCTGACTGGTGGTTCTTTCTGCATGTTCTCGCATCACACTCCCCCCGCCGACACACACAAAAGCCTTAAGCCAGGCCTTCGGCTCTGTTTCAGTGTGGGAGAAATTAGAGAACTAAAATACAAATGTAGGTATACATAGACACACACACATACATCAAGTCTACTGTCTTGAACTTGAATTGGAAGTATCAATATAAACTCACAGTGTATTTACATTAAAACAATTTTTTCCTAGTTTTGTCCACTGAAAAGGCCTGAAACCAATGAGCAATCCAGTAACAAGCACTCCTGATGCCAATACTGTGGGCTCTAAATACCTCTCCCCACAGAAAGCAATCAGAGAGCCTCAGAGGCAAGTGCTCATTCCAGGTGGGTGGCAGGACACATACAAGACGAGCCAGGACATCTAGTCATGCCAGAAAGCAAGAAAGCCTTCAAAGACCATGTAGGATCTTGTCAAAAGGACTCAGAAATCAGCTTGAAGAGGGTCCCACTGGCTGAAGATGGGAGCAACCTGAGCATGAATACCCGCAAAGGGCTGAGCCACGTCAAATACGTTTAAATCCATGAACTCCCTCCGCCATCACTGGGGGAGGCCAGGGAATCAGCTCATTATTTTGAAAACTGTTGGGGCCGGCTCCGTGGCCAAGTGGTTATGTTCATGCGCTCCGCTGCGGCGGCCCAGGGTTCGGATCCTGGGCGCGGACATGGCACTGCTCGTCAGGCCACGTTGAGGCGGCGTCCCACATCCCACAACTAGAAGGACCTGCAACTAAGATATACAACTATGTACGGGGGGTTTGGGAAGATAAAGCAGAAAAAAAAAAAAAAAGATTGGCAACAGTTGTTAGCTCAGGTGCCAATCTTTAAATAAGAAAACTGATAAATACAAAGAAGGAGTCAAGTACTTGTTGAAGAAATAAAAAACTATCATCATTTTCCAATGCCTATGAAATAATGGATCCAAGAAATCAAGGACGACTAACATCAAAAAAGACAACTAGACAATACACATTCCCTTCTACGGAAGTACACAAATCTATGAAGCATTCTTACAAAAACAAACAAACAAACAAATCTGATCTGGTCTCTAACTTTAATTACCAATTTACAGAAAACACAGGGGCAATGAAAACGTGAAATATCCCCATGGGAATGCAATCAGCAAAATCCAGATGATCTAAGGGACAAACAACTCTGTTTCTTTAACAAATAAATTATAAGGAAAAAAATAAAAATTCAGGAGGTACCTATGGCTTACAAGAGATTTAAAAGACACAGCAACCAATTGCAATGTTTGGAACTTATCTTGATTCCAATTTGAACAAAAACTATACAAAAACTTTGTAAGACAAGAAAATGTGAACACTGCATATTTGCTTATACATATTTGATATAACTAAGTGTTATTTTTTGGTCCGATAACAGTAATGTGGTTATATGACTCTGAAATAAAAGTCCTTATCTTTTAGAAATACATTCTGAAGTATTTCAGAATGAAATATGATGTCTGAAATTTGCTTCAAAATTATGTAGGAGGAGTGTAGGGAGGTATTGTTAAATATTTAAAGGCCTGTGCCCCTAGGATGGGACAATCAAATCTGAATGTGATCAAGACTCTAGATATTATTACCAGCTTACGGGGGAAAAAAGGGGGAAAGAGGAAGAGCTTAAATAACACTGAACATACAGTCAGCTAAATATAGAATATGGGCCATTCTGTAGGAAAAATGACTCCTTCTTCACAAATGAATGGCATTAAAAAAAAAGAGGAGACTGTTGGAGATTAAGAGGGACCTAAGGGACAGAGAGAACCACTGAACGCAATCTATCTGAGTTGTTTACCTCAGTTGGACCTTGATTTGAACAAACTAACTGTAAAAAGGCATTTCTGAGGGGCCAGCCTGGTGGCGCAGCGGTTAAGTTCACACGCTCCGCTTTGACAGCCCAGGGTTCGCCGGTCCGGATCCTGGGTGCAGACCTACACACTGCTCATCAAGACATGCTGAGGCAGGTTTCCCACATAGAAAGTAGAGGAGGATTGGCAGCAGACGTTAGCTCAGGGTTAATCTTCCTCAAAAAAAAAAAAAAAGGCATTTTTGAGAAAAGTGGGGAAAACTGTACCTGGATTAGGTAATTGACGATCATAAGGAATTACTATTTGTTGGATATGATCATGGCATTGTGATCAACTTGTTGAAAAGTCCAATTTCTTAAAGATACACTCTGAAGTATTTACAAGCGAAATGAAATTGTCTGCTATGCGCTTTAAAAATACCCTAGAAAAAAAAAAGAGGTGAGGGAGGGAGAGAGGGTGAAATAAAAATGGCACAATGTTAATAATTGTTGAAGTCGGCCCATTTTACCAGGCTCATCACTCCTGTGTGTTTGAAAATATCCACAATAAAACATTAAATACAATTTAGAACATTTAAAAAATAAAGCTAGTCCTTGCCCAGGGTGTTACCTATACTGACCGCTCACATTTAAGGGACAGGAAGGCCGCTCAGGTTTGGAGGGGGGAGGGAGGTGGCAAGGCAGGGGAGACTCGGAACTTGACCTGAGCCTGGCGGGAGGGTGAAGGTGGGAAACGGCGGGATCCGGGGCACAGCAGTGTTGGAATCCTCGCCAGCACCCACAGGTGCATTCCTATTGCTGTAGTTGATGATGGGTGCTTGCTCCATCTCCTTGGTCACACTGTGAGCCCTTTGAGAAGGAAAATGCCCCACTCCCTTGCCCTCCGCACTCTTCCCACCTCCTCCCTCTCCCCCACATTCCCAAAAGAACTCCCCAATCCAGGGGGTAGCACCACGGCGCCCAAGCACCAAAGGACAGCAGAGTGCTGGTCTGTGGCTCCATCTGCTGGTGGTGCTGGGAACTGAAGCTGCCGAAACAGGGTTCCAATGAGACGGAAGCTGCAGACAATTTGAGCGCTCTGGATCCTTCCCCTCAGAAAGGATAAACACAGGCCAATTAAACATATAAGAAGCATTTAATTTCATCACCATAAACATTATACTCTGATTGCTCACATACAGTATAAAATATTTACTCCGCTAAATAAATAAGACATAACATTATTGCAAACGGCACTTAAACCCTCCCGAGATTAGACCTTTGCCCAGGCAGGGGGCGCTCCTGAGATTCTGTGCGAGATTCCCCAAGCACAGATATGCCCTGGGGGCTGAGACGGATAAAGGCTCCAGGAGCCAAACTCCGTGCTTCTGGTCCTGCCACAGCCCAGAGGAGAGGCAGGGAGGCTGCTGAGGAGAGGCAGGGGGCGGGCAGCTCCTTCATCAGCCCAGGCCTACAGGGAACAGAGAGGAGCTGGGGGGCAAGGCTGGGCCAAGAAAGGAGGGGAGGCTGGGGAGGCTGTGAAACCTGGAGCCCCCCTCCCCACCTTCCTCCAGGCCCCAGCCTTGGGTAACAGGATTTGGGATGAGTTGGGGCGAGCAGAGATTCCAGGCTCCTGGGTTAGGTACTGTGGGGGCCAGACCAATCACCCCAGGAGGAGATTCTGGCAATGCTCAGCATGATAAACAGCCATCTTAGGGGACCCCATCATTGGGGATCTCAACTCCTAGACACCAACATGGCAGAGCTGGGAATTGATTCCCCTCTACTTAGTTAAATAAATAACTTAAATATTTAAAGGCCTGTGTCCCTATGGTGGTAACACAGGGGCCAACAAGCCATGTCCTGATAAAACATAGGGGCGGGGGATCAGCAGAAAGGCAGCGCTGTAGAGCCAGGAAGCTTCCCCTCTCCCCTCAGGACTCTACCCCGCAAATATCTCTCATACTTTCAAATCCTGTGGAGGAGAGTTTCACACCAGAAACTGCCGCGTAAGAGCAACACTGGGGGGACCTACGGGATAAGGGGGTTTGGAGGTGGGAGCCCAGGCGGCTGAGTTTACTCAGCTCCCCAAATCCCTTCTCTGGGTATGTCCTGACCAGGACACGAGCTGTTAATCCTGAGCCTCGATGTCCCCCTGCAGAGTCCTGCACCCCCCGGAGCATGGAGCTAACCAGACGCCTGCCCTCTGGCTTCCCTGTGGGAGTCCAGACTGAAGCCCACCGGGAAAGCTACCAGTCGCCCAGCACTAAAGCCCGGGAGAGGCCAGAGGGAAGCCCCAGACCCCCACCTGTGCAGCTGTGCACCCATGGCCATGGGGTGGCAGCAAAGAGCCACACCACTTTGGCAGCAACAGACACTAGAAGCCAGCCTCAGCCCTGGGGGCTGACTGGAGACTGGAACAGGGCCTTCCCTCAGTGGGTTGGAAGCAGTCTACAGCGAGTATTTGGCCAAGTCGCTCTTGTCAAATACTACCTGTGTGGCAAAGTAAATGGCCACCAGACCCAGGCCTGCAGCCGACACCATATAGGCAGTGACAGACTGGCTGAGCTGAACAATGGAGCCCATAAACAGGGATGGGGCCACCTGAGACAGCAGGAAGGCACTGTCCAGAATGGCAAGGTCCAGGCAGATGCCCCGGCCCGGAAGGACCCCAGCCTCGGGTGGCTCACCCACCACCATACGCATGGAGACATCGCAGGCAGAGGCCCCACAGAGTGCGGGTGGAGACGGGAGCAGGCCGCTGCCTCCAGCACCCATGTGTCCACTCGGGAAGGGAGATCCGGGCTTGGGGCCTGGTGGGAAGCTGGTCATCAGGCTGTCCTCACTGGCGCCACCTCCAGCATCTCCTCGGTATTTGGGCAAAAACACCTGGGTGAGGGAGAAAAAAGGGGACAGGTACAGGTGTGTACCCAAGTAAGGGATCCTCCAGTTATGAGAACAGACCCTGGCCTTCATCCCAGGGGCTGGAAGAAACCGGGAAACAGGTCTTTTTATAATAAGAATCTGGCAGCAGGTCAGAAAACTGAGCGAACGCTGCTTGGTCTATTTCTAGTCAAGACCCTCATCAAGGGCGGGAGAAGGGTAGGGGGACAGAGAGGGGACAAATCTGAAACCGGAAGTCCAGGACTCCTCTGGCCTCTCCTAGAACAGGTAGGAGGCAGACAAACTCAGTTCTGCAGGTTAGGAAGAGAACAGAACCCCAAGGTAAAGGAAGAGACAGGCAGAATGAAGACAGGTGAGAAGAGATTTGTGAGAACAGAGGAACCAAATCCACAGGCGGGGCCCCTGCTGGCCCAACCCACCCGCCCCGCAGGCTCTCCTAACCGTCCTCCTTCCTGCCGCCCCACACTTCACCACGGGGAAATGCTCATTGCCCTCCGGAGAGGAGCCTGCTGCCACTGGGGTCACAGGCCCTAGCTGTAGCTCTGTCCTACTGTGGGGTCCATGGCCCCAGTCTGGGGAAAGGCAGGGTCCAGAAGACTCAGCCTGGAGTGGATGGGAGGAATCACTCTCTTCCCGACTCCCCAGCCCAGCTGTGCTAATGTTGAAGCTTTCTCACCTCCTTCTCATCGTCCACCCGGAGCCTCTTGTTTAAGGACAAGGCCAGAACTTATCTGACACTGCCCCCTTGCCCACTAGTGCCTAATAGGGGAGAGTTCTTGAGGTGGCTGCGTTAGACCTGGGAGCCACAGCAGAGCTCAAACCTGACCCCAGGGAAGCCCGGGCTCGTCACGCAGCTAGAAGTGGGCAAAGAAGTGCAGGGCCAAGTGTGCCAGCAGCTGCTGCTTGGAATGGGCCTGCCAGGACCGCTCTTCCTTGCCTTCCTCCCCAGGAAAGACCAGCCAGGCTGGAGCCTGGACAGGCCCCTGGGGACAAACATGCTCCTCAGTCTGAGGGAAGGACCCTCAGCATGCTCCCTGGCGTGGCTGCTTGTGCCCAAGCCTGGCCTCTGGACACCAGCCTTTAAGTCCCCGGCCAGGGCAGCAGAGGCTGGAGGCTGATCATGTGCGCCAAAGGGGGTCTCAGGGACAGGTTCCCCAAACCAAAACCCTGGCCCTTCCCGCGACCCCTGCCCCCAATGCAGCTACCTATTCAGTTAACCAACCTCCCAGCTAGGTGTTTCTCTGCTACCCGACTCATGTCCTACAAGGGGCAGAGACGTCTTCCCTAGAGTCTGGAAGCTCTATGAGGTCAGGCCTGCATCTACTCCTCCCTCGGGACACTCCAACTTCTTGCCCCTCTGAGCTCTGCACCCAGGGCTATAACTCAGTGAGGCTAGCGGAGGGGACAAAGGTGACCACAAAGCCTGGGTCAGGAGGCTTTGCACACAAGGGGGCCCCTGGAGGGGCTGGTTAGTGTGAGGCCCCCAACTTACACAGTGCCCAGGTGAGTGGTGTTGGTGCGTCAGGCTCAGAGATCCGCCGTGGGGGCAGGGGAAGGGGACGAAGGCAAAGGTGTGAGGCAGGAAAAGAAAAGAGAGAATTAGACAGAAAAGGAAGATGAACCAGAAGGAGAGGGGGCAGTAAGGAGCCTTCCCCACCTGGGAGACCAAAGCAGGGCACAGATCAGCCACAGTGCCCCCTGAATAAGGAGAGGTGTTGCCAACACCAGACCATGCCCGCTCACCATGTGCTGAAGCTAGGTGCCCCAGAGGTCATCTGACCCAGGTCCCTACTTCTGCAGACAACAACCCGGCCCAGACTGAGGGCTTCTGCTGGCCTGCCTCTTGAGGATTCCCAGAGAAGGACTTCGCTCTTCCTGCAATCACCCACTGAAGTGCTTTATGGTCCTGACACCAGGAAGTCATTCCCAGAGTCTATTCTACACCCGCTTCCTTCCGCAGCCCACGTCTCTGGCCCTGGAGCTACGAGGAGCTTCCTCTCCAGTCAAAGAAGGCCTTCAACTTCTGGACCAGACCAGCTGGGGCTAGTCAGCCTCCCCTCAGCCCGCTCCACCCAGCGGCCAGGGCGAGTACCTGCTTCTCGCGGTGGTAGAGGGATGCCAGCGTGTAGGGCAGGATCTGCAGGGCGGAGAAGGTGAACCCTGTGAGGGCAGCCGAGGCGGTCACCACAGCCACGCTGCGGGACAGGCACGTGGCACCGGCAGCCACGGGGAAAGCCACCACACTGGCCAGATAGACTGCCCTGGTGCCAAATCGCTGCACCAGCCGGTCCATGACCAGGGAGAAGAGCAGGGAGATGGCACACTGCAGGAACAGCCCCAGGCTGCCCATCCGGACCCCTGGAGGCGGGTGGGGAGAGAGGCAGTCAGACAGGGAAGGCGGGGAGTGGCTCAGAATTAGGAGCTACAGGCACCTGCTCCCCGAGACCTGCTCTAGACCAGACCCACTCCCCCGCACCTTCCCACCCTACCTGTAGCAACGGAAGTCTAGGCTCTTCCACTGACCCCAGGGAATGTGGCCAAAGCCACTGGCTAAGGACAGAGGAAGATGTTCTAAGGGTCGACTAGAGCCTCAGCTAGTGCTCTGTGGGCTAGGACGGAGACAGGGAACGCAAAGACAGTTCTCCCATAGGCTCTAAGACGGAGCTCCAGGACGTCTGAGCTGGAAGGCGCTAGCAAGGTGGTTTGGGAAGTCAGCAGGGGACACAGAGGGTACCCTGACGTTGGGGCCAGGCGGACCTGAGACCCAGACTTGACTCCGCCACTCCCTTTGGACCTTAAATAAGCTCAGCCTTTTCTTCTGTCAAATTGGGGCAAGGACTGATCAAAATCTCAGAGCAGCCTGAGGCTCTGTTGACACTGCAGGCAAGGCTGCCCTGCACCCTTGAGGAGCTGTACACACAGACTACACACTGGGCCCATTCTCCTGATGGGGAAATCAGGGCATAGATGCACAGCTACCAGTCGAGACACAGGCTGTGGGCACCTCCCTAGGCATGAACGTCCCCTGGACAGCAGCCCCCACAGCAGCACCCATCCCTGGCTGCCGAGGCCTTACCTTCATCATAGTGTCTCCGCGCCTCAGTGCCTGGCTCAGCCCTGGGCACACCCTGGTACAGCCCCTCACCCACGAAGTCCGTGTAAAACAGTGTGAAGGTCATGAATGCCATCCAGCTGCACAGCTCGGCCACAAAGAGTCGGCGCAGAGTACGAGGCACACGGCAGCAGAGCTGGTGCAGCCGGGGGAACAGGGTGCCTAGGTTCCGGAAAGCCAGGCGGGCGCGGCCCGGGCAGCAGTGGGGCGGCATGGGGGACACCGACAGCCCTTCTGGAGGCTCGGCTGGGCCCAACGCTGCCTCCTCGGCCACCAACAGCGTGGCTGCCACACAGGTGAGGAAGATGACAGTGAGCAGGCCAAAGAGGCACTCCTCCTGGGTGCCCAGGTAGGGGGCCAGGGCACTGGCGTCCCAATCGATGGCGGGCAGCAGATAGCCCAGGCAGCCCCCAAGGCTGATCATGAAGGCGTAGACAGAGAAGGCCTGGCGACAGTGGTCTGGGTCCCGGAAGAGGTCAGAGAGCAGGGCCTCCAGTGGAGTGAAGCACACCTGGCCACAGAAGTCCAGCAGCCCCACGCCCAGGATCAGCAGGGCCAACTCCAGGGGCCTGGCGTCCGGGCACAGCAGCCCTGCCAGCCGGCTGGCCCTCGGGATGAGGAAGAGGCTCAGCAGGACGCCCAGGGACAGGGCCCAGATGAAGGGCCTCCGGCGACCATAGCGCCCACGCCAGTGGTCACTGGCGGAGCCTAGGAGCGGGACGGAGACCAGGCCCAGCACTGGACCAATGCCTGCAAGAAAGGCAGGAGTGTGAGCCAGAGGCTGGGGCCCTTAAGGGGTGGGGGAAGGAGGCCAACCTCCTTGAGAAGAGGATCACGATATATCACCCAGAGGGAGGGCCAGCCCTGTGCTGGACGCTGTGCTGAGCACTACATGACAGGATCACTAACGCCCCATTTTAAGATGGGGAAACTGAGGCATGGAGCAACTGATAAGTGATACTTGTACACAGGCACAGAGCTACGGAGGGTGAGCGGTGGGATTTCAACAGCCAGTCTGACTCCAGATGCTGTAATCCTGACAGACCCCCTCTTCCTAGGAGTCACACAATGGTGACCACCTGCCTTCTGTGGCCTCTGCACAGCGCCTGCCCCAGGGGTAAGGAAGCCCCCCGCTGGAAGACCCCAGTCCTACTAATCAGTGGCTGGCTGTACGGCCTGCCTATGTCACCTAACTTCGTATAAGCCTCCTCTACCCTCTCTGTGAATGGATAAACTCAAAGGGCTGTTGAAGGGATTAAATGAGGTAGTAGATATAAATCATAAACAGCCAGACACATGCAAAGGGCAAGTTCTCCAGTGGCTCCTACGGGCAGGCCTTGTGTAGAGGCCAGGGGAACAGCAGTGGCCAGGGAATGTCTCTCTACTCTTTGCTTCCTCTTGGACCCCCTGGGCCCAGGGTCACCCTCCCCAGCAATGGAGGCCTGGCAGGCTCGGGAAGGGCAGGCAGCTCCCTCTCCCGCCCAGCAGCTCTCTGGGCAGAGGCCCCGCTGCCCTGCTGCCGGGGCAGCCTAGATCTGGAGCAGGAGGGAAGGAGCGCCTGGTGACTCACCCAGAACCATGGTCATGAACTTCTCCTCTACCCCCACTTCCAGCAGCAGGGGTGGCGCGTAGGTGATGCCCGCGGCCAGGCACACCTCCAGGCCGAAGGTCAGCAGGTTGACCAGCAGGAGCTGGGCTTTCCTATGCCGCAGCAGGCGGCTCCCCCACAGCCTCTGGACCATGGTGGGCCAGGCGGCGAGGGCTCCAGCCCATTCACGCATTCCAGAACTGCTTCGTCTCTGGCCTGCTCCAGACACCCAGGCCTCTCCTTTCTGACACCGACCACCTGGGACTCAGCCAGGAGCCCATTTCTGCCAGCCCTCCGTGTGGGTCCAGGTTCTCAGCCCATGCTAAACGCCTGCGGCCATGGGGTGCTTCCTGGACACATACCCCATCACTCGGACACTGAAAGGGAGGGACAACCAAACACACGAGTGTTAGGTCCTGGGAACCAGGATTTGCTCTCAATTCTCTGAATCCTGTTCACTCCCAGGCTGATGGTGTGGCCCTGCCACCTGGGTGTCACCCCCGATTGCCCAGTCAGGAAATTCATGTTAATATTAGCCTAAGGCTGACATAAGTAATAAGGTAAATATGATTTTTAAAGCTTAGCACACTCCAGAGCCAAACAGATGTCGGTTATTCTCTGTTTTGGAATATTTTTGCAATTGCCCTTGCCTGCTAGTATGGGGGAAAATAGAAATCAAACCAATGGAATTCCCAGTTCCCCAGGCCCTGTCATCAAGGTGCCCTGAGACCCTCCAGCCGGCCTGGTTTGTTTGCTTTTCTCTCTCCACCTCCCAGAGCGGCAGTTCAATTCCCCTTTGTTAGGAGCAGCATTTCCTATTCTGCACTGCCTGGCCTGGCCACGGGCCATGGTGCCCGGATGACGGAGGACGGGCAAGGGGGGAGAGGCTGTGGTTTGCTGGGCTGGATTTTAACCTGTCATTGAAACTGCTTCAAGACCGCTCCCCTGGACGAACCTGAGCCTGAAAACCTCTCCCGTGAGTTTCTCTTCGCGTTCAACTGTTGGTGGGGAAAAAACATTCCCACATGTGCTGCCCAGCTGTCCTGGGACAGCGGGGCCATCCAGGGGCCCAGCCTCACGGGCTTGAAACTGCACCACCTGGCAGCAACTGCAGTGACACCAGTGACCCCAGGGCTGGCAGGATGTCCCACACTCCCAGGCAGCCTTTCTCTGTTCCCCAAAGTGCTCCATTCTCAGCAGAGAAATCCCCATAGCCCTTCCTGCTAGGCCTGCCTCCTGTGCCCAGAGATCCTACTGGGGGAGCACCTACCCGTGCCCCCACCCCTAGGCAGTTGCCTCCAGGTCTAGCTTCCCTGAAGAGAAGGTGTAGAGAGTGGGCCATGGTGAGAAAAGGTGAGAGTCCCCTAACCAGCCAGCCATCCCAATGTGGGGGAGAGGGGGGCGGGGCGGGGGGACGGATGACAGAGCCTCACACCACTTGTGGCTGGAGTCTGGCGTGCCTTCCTTTGCCTCATGGATTCAAGCCCATAAATGCTGTTGAAGAGCACTACTCCTGTGCAAGGTCCACAGTGGCCGAGGGCCTGGCTCCCGTCTCCTCCCCAACCCCAGAGCCTTCCTGGAGCACCCTCAGGCTCACTTATTCCTCTTCCAAGCTCAGCATCTCGTAATTTGGAGCTTCAACATCTTTTATCTCTTTAAATAACCTCAAGCCCCACAGGGCCTTGTGTGTTACAGAGCACGTTGGAGGTGCTCTCTGCGCTGTGCCACAGAGAAATCAGACGGCCATCAGTCCTGGGTAAGACGTGTCCATCCCATAACCGCCTTCTGGGGCTCTACAGCTGGTAGAGCAGGAAGGAGGGGACTTCAGATGAGGCTGGGCAACCAACAGCCTCCTCCCCAAAGTCCCACTCAGACCCAGGCCATCCACTTCGAGAAGGGACACGGCCTCCTATGGGGGTGGCATGGGGAGGAGTGAAAACACTGACTCACGTGGCCCCAAAAAGGGACTGGAGGACCAGACAGCAGTCTTAGCTGGGTGTTTGTGGGTTCAGCTCGAGGCGCGTCCTCCCCAGTCGCTGCTTTGCCATAGCACCACAACAGGAAAGCAGGAGGCTGCACAGGGACCAAGGGCTCGTGCCATCCAGGCTGGAGGGAGGGATTCTGGGTGCAAAGGCTTCCAGCCCCTTCCACCCCCCACCTTCAGTCTGGGAGGGCCCCGGACATTCACCTGCTCTGGGTTTTTAAGGGACCAGGTCCTCCCTGAGCAAACAGAGGCTGTGTCAGACCCAGCCTCACCCACAACCTGCTCCATTCCCAAGCCCTGCTTGCTCCCTGTTGTTGAAAATAAACCGCAGCTCTCCTGCAACCACTAATCACCCCGCCTGCCTTCCCCCCTCCCTCAATCTGGTTCCTCACTCCCTGACTTCCTCACTCTCTGACGAGCAGGACCCTCCCTAGCCCACAAGGGAGAACAAAATGGGTGAAGAGAGGAAAGTCGTCTCACCCGCTATGAGGAGCTCACCAGCCAGCTCCTTAGCCACCTCCCCCTCCCCAGCGCCTCTCCGCCCCCTAGAGGTTCTTTACCTGGTAACCAGGGGCGGGGCCAGCTGTGGAATTCATTGAGAGGAGCCAGGTAGGAAGTGGGCTGGCTGCGAGCTCTGCTCTGCACCCCTCTGTCCTTAGGTTGCTGAGCCCGTCCTCCCTCTTTTGACTTCTACTCTGCCTTGGGGTCCAGGACACTCTTGCCACCCCCAGACTTTACTCTTTCCAGCCCAGAATTGCCTGAGGAATTCCACGCCCATGAGAATATTCTCCCTTCCAAAGCCCCCCTTTCTTCTCCTTACGTCTTCCCCGGACCCCTGGTCTCCCCTGCTTCATCCCCACCCCAGGGCCTCAGGAAGAGGAGACGACAGAGGACTCCCACAGCACTAGCTCAGCCATGAGCCATCCCTCCAGGGCCTCGTTCCCCAGGGCACAAACAGAAGCCCAGGCCCTGCCCGGTCCCCAGGCTCAGAGAGGGGGACAAGAAGAAGGGGTCGGTGGCACGTTCCTGGCTACCACTCCTATCTGCAGCTCCCGGGCACTCTTCTCACTGAAGCTTGAACGAGACAGACCCCAGCGGAGTCCCTGTTTCAGGAGCTCCCCTGTCCAGCTCAGAGAGACAGGATCCAGTTCTCCCTATACCCTCCAGGCTCAGAGATGCGGCTGACTGAAATCCTCCTGCCCCATGCTCCTGGAGCACTCTGCCTGTCTGGCAAACAGAAGATCAACCAGAAGGGCTGGCCTCCAGTGCTCACCTGGTGGGGAGGGGGTGAGGGTGGAGGTACAGAAAGGGGGAGTCTGGCCTGACCTCTTTAAAAGGAATGGAAGCCTTCTAGGAGGACAAGACCCTCTCAAGTTCCAACTCCCCTCCTCTCTGGGCCCCCTAGACGGGACAGCCAGAAAGCTGGAGAAAGCTCTGGGAGCCTTCACGAACTCTGCCCGGCCAACTTTCCTCATCCCTGGGGGTGCAGGCTTGGCCCAGAGAAGCAGGCATGTTTGTGAACCTGCATCTCGCTCCCCAGCTCCAGAGAGCAGCGACCTACACGCCCCATGCACTGCAACCCACCTAGACGCCCCATGCACTGCAACCCGGGGCACCCGCAGAGCAGGCAGCGGGTGCCACTGTGACCCTCTGGCACCGGCCCTAGCAGAAGGGACTGGGACCCATTTGCCCAAAGAATAAGTAGCTGAAAGCAGAGTGGGTGTGGGAGGGTAAGGGATGGAGGCTAAGTGCCTCCCCCATCCCCACACGCGCCCCTGAAACCGCGGCCCGGCCCCCAGGGAGACCCACTCCGAAGGGGTCAAAGGTGGTGAGTGGAGGTCCGGACAGACCCTCACAGGCTGGAGGGCCCGGCGCCTGCCCCTTTGCCCAGCTTCAGATTAGGCGCCACCAGGGAGCACGGGGAAATGAAACTGAACAACAGGAATAAACTTGGCCTGAACTTTCTTCAAAATTCAAAAGACGGAGTGGAGGGAAGGCGACAAGCCCACTCCTGGTAGCTGCCTTCGGAAGGGAGGGTCAGAGGGCTGGATAAAGAGGCCTTTGAGGGCTGTCAAAGGGGCTCTGCCGACCCGCAGCCAGAGGTGGGGCTGGGGGCGGGATTCCCTCGCTGATAGGCAGGGGCCGGCGGGCTGGGGGCGCGCTGGGGGCGCGCGGCGGCCAGTGTCAGGCAGCAATTCTATGGGCCCTTTATGCAGGCCAGCGTCCCCCCACCCCGTGCAGGCACATCAAACGGCCGGCTCCCGCCCTGACCCTGCCGAGCAGCGACCGCGTCCTCCCTCCACACTCACAAAGCCGCGCTGCTTTCCCACGCGCTCCTCCGCAGGAAGGCCGCCCCTCGACCTCCGCGCCACGGGCAGGCCCCCAGAAGGAAACTGGGGACAGGCTAGGCTGGCCCCGAGGAGCAATGACTCAGCTGCAGACAGCGAGCGGGTGGGGTCACTCCAGGCCATCTCCCTCACACACGCCCCAGGCCCGGACGGCGGGTGGGGAGCAACCCACAAGTAGAGGCTGCAAGACTGCGCGGATGTGGGGACCCCCGTTTGTCCACACGGGACTGGACCCCAGAATGTCATTCCAAATTGAGCTGTCCCAGGCGCCCTAGGTTAGGGGCAGGGAATTGGTCTGGGGGTTCACCAGCTCAGCATCCCTGCCAACTAGCCCCCTGCCTCAGTCCCAGGAGACCGACGTCCTCGGCCGACCTAGTAAACCTAGCGGACTCCGTCCCCTTAATGAGCTCCGCCCTCTCAGCGGCTCGCAAGGAGCCTGGGGCCAGACCCCAGAAAGAGGCCGTGCTGGCCACCCAGAAGACCTGACAAGCGCATCCTTGTGAGCTCTCCCCGCTCACAGGTGCCCTGGTCAGGGGTGCTGTGCTGTGGGAATTCCCACCCCGGGAGCTAAGGCGACCAGGACGCAGGATTAGACCAGGCACGGCTTTGGTGACTTCCAACCCACATTCAATCTTTGATTCCCTGGGTTTGAATACTTCCAAAGAAGTGAGGGTCTGCTTTCCCCGGTCCCACCCTACAAAAGGCAGTGGTGATCTGCACAAATAGCTGGGGTCCCCAACTCGCTGCGCTCCCGCAGACACGCAAGAGCACCGTTCAGAATGCAACCCTGCACCCAGGGGAACGGCAGGAAACAGCAAGGGCGGGCAGTGGGGAGTGAGACCCACCACGGCAGACGTGCTCCCCAGCTCTGCCCCCCAGGGCCCAGGGGCTGGGGATTTAGAGTTGCCCGCTGCGCTGCCTTTTCTTCCCTCGGACTGGAAGCCTTCTGCTCAGCAGCTTGTCAGAGAGAGTGAGGGGCTGCAGGCCGGGACACAAAGGGGGATTAGGGAGAAACCTCTCGGCCTGCAGAGTAATCCATCACACTCTCTCCCGGCTGCCAGTGCCGGCCCCTTCCCACTCAATTCCCCTTCCAGCTGCTGTGGCCCCCACCCGCTCCAGCTCCTGAGCCCTGTCACATGGCAGCAAAGAGAATCCCAGGCCCTGAGGGGGCAGAGGGGGCACACCCCGGACACTGGGAAAAGGACAACGGCTCCCTCCCCCCTCCCGGCCCCCAATGTGTGAAAACCCAACAGGTGGCAGTGGCTCAGAGGGAAGCTGCTTTTGTCACCCTGTCTGAGAGCCACAGTCCCGCTTCTGAAAGGGGACAAACGTGAGAGGTGGGGGAGGGGAGGGGAGAGGACAGCGGCAGTCCCAGAGCTCCTTGGATCTCCCCTCCCCTCTCAGATCCAGCGATGGGATTCTGCAGCTGGCCTGCCCCTCACCTTGGCCAGTGGAGGCGAGGCACCCCTCCCCAGGTCACCCGGCATCCCATGGTCACAGTGAACACAGATGCGCATCTGACTCCAGGCACCTGAGCCTCCCAGCAGACTTCCTTTCTGTGGAACAGCTGCAACCCAAGGTCACACTGGGTCACCTTGACCAAGTGCCCTCCAAACAAGACAGCCCGTGCCCTTCACCCAAGACCTCTCTTCCCGGCCAGGAGCCACAGGTCCCTGAGCCGAGACGTCCCCGGACCCAGCAGATCCTGCAGGTGACCTAGGTTTGGCAGTCGGCCTAACCTGGGTTTGCATGCCAACTCCACCACTTACTGTAACTGTGTCACCTTGCTACTTGACCTCCCCGAGCCTCAGTTTCCTCATCTGCAATTAATAATAGCAGCTAAGTTGAGGTTTACTACATGCCAGGTACTCTTCCAAGCGTTTTAATCTTCTAGCCGCCTCCTGAGATGGGTACAGTGAGTTGACCCATTTAAGAGGCAAGGAAACATAGATTACCACGACTGACCTCACAGCTGCGCCATGTGTCTGAAAGGATGTGCACGCTCCTGGCAACGCCTCTTCAGGTTTCTGGGCTTCCTCAGTGGAGAATCCCGGAGAAGGCTTTCTCATTCCCAGACTGGAGCAGCAGGGGTCAGAGGGGGACCGGCTTCCACGCCCCTCTCCCACGGGGCCTCCCGACCCGCCCCAGCGCTCTCTCAGCCCCCAGAGGCCAGAGGAATGCCAAGAATGTAAACGCCTCCCCAGGTGCTGGCCCCCACAGGTAAGGAGAGGTCACTGCAGCAGACCTGGCTGGTGTCTGAGGCTGGGAAGGGAGATGAAGGGTGAGATAAACATCCCAGTTATGAGACAGGGTGGTTCCCATCTACAGGGAAAACAATCACAGTGATGACACCCACTAACTGCGGGAGGTGCCTGGCCCGTGCTGGGTACCTGACGCATCTTCTCCAACTCCTGCCATTTGTGCCATCCTGCACAGCAGGTATTTAATATTCCTATTTCATCACAAGGACGAAAACGGACTCTCAGAGAAATTTATTAACATGCCCAAGGTTGCACAGACAAAAACGATTAAATGGAAAATTCAAACCATCTGAAAATTCTGGAAAGTGTTCTGAACTGAGAGCCAGAACAGTGTGGTCCAGTTTCAGCAACTTTTGTAGCCGTGTGGCCTGGACGAGCCATTTCACCTCTCTGGGACTCAGTTTCCGCACCTGTAAAATGAGAGCTGGTCTAGCTGCTGTCTAAGGTTCTTACAACCGTACAGCTATGTGATCTCATACTCCCCCGCCCCCAGCCCCAGGAAGGGTGCTCTCCATGGACCGGAGGCCACTCAGTGCTCACTGACAAGCCCACATGGCATCAGGGAGGGGGTGTCATAGCCCTCCACCAATGAGAGACAAGGGCACGGGGTGGCAAAGGGCTCCCCAGCTGCACTTACCCATCCTTCACCTGTCTACACATTGCTCAAGTGTGTAGACCACAGGGTGCCAAGGGCTGGCAGTCACCTGAAACAGCCAAGCAACCAAGCCATCTGGGGGCATGATCGCTGTCTTCCCTACTCCCACCCAGAGTTGGACTAGAATTAGTAACTAAATTCTTTCTCTACTTGGGCCACAATAAATGCTTCCCTACAAGGTAGGGTAGCAGTACCAAGAAATCCCTCGGTCCGGAATGAGGTAAGAGGGCTGTGGGAAGAGAATGAAGAGCTTGGCTCGGTCTCCAGACCACTGGGAAGTTCCCTCCCCGCTCCCTTCTCTTTCTACATCCCCTGCAAAGTGAAACCTGAAAGGCTTCCCTCCTCCTGCACTTGAACTTTCCCTGTCAGCCAGACCAGGCACCTCTGCCCATCTGTGCACAGCCAACCCTTGTCCCCTCCCTGCAGCCTGGCATCCCTTAGGAGGTGAGGTATCCAGGAAAGACGCCAGAAGGTTGAGGGTCTGGGCAGACCTCCAGTTGAGCAGAGCCCTGGGCTGGGAGTCAGACCGCGGTGCTGGTCCCAGCTCTGCCGCCTCCCACCTCTAGAATCTCAAATCTGATGCTCTGTAAGGCCCTTTCAGCCCTGATATCCGACGGTCCGTGACGAGCCCCTTTTCTCATCAGAGGGCTCTGGGCCAGACTCAGTCCTGTGGAGATACGGTCTCAAAAACAGTTACTCAGAGGCGAGCAAGGTGCAAGGAGGCTCCAAAAAGACTTCTTTATTAAAGAGCTCTAGTTTACCCACCCTTGGAGGAGGTATGCCTCAGTAAGTGCAACCGAACCTCCCCCAAAGGAACGTCAAAGAGCACTAAAACTCTCCCACCTATCCACCCACCTGTCCGTCCACCCATTCACCCAACACTTATTGAGCCCAAGTACGTGCAAGCCCCTTGTGAAGGTGCTGGGAATTCAGAAACGAATGACTGCAGCCCCCTTTAGCAGAAGGGACAACATACACTCAGAGTGCAGTGAGATGCTACAGGTGTAAAGACACAGGTCCTTAGAGTGGGGCGTGCTCAGTTCTTCCAGGACTTCCCAGGGGAGGCAGCCATGTTGCTGAGCCTTCAAGATGAGCAGGTAGGAGCTACGCAGAAAAGGGTGCATGCCTGCACAGCATGGCCACTGGAGCCGGGGATCCGCTCATCAGACAACCTCTCCCAGTCAGGTGCGGTGGAATAAACACTAGACCCAAAATCGCGGGACTCGGTTTTGATCTCAGATCTGGGCCCAAGATGGGAATATTCATCAGCACTGAGCCTGTGTTTGTTTCCAGGGACACGTCGAGCACGGTCACCTCCCGCAGACGGCTTTCCCCTGAACTCTGTCCAGCTCAAGTCCTACACCTTCTCCAGGCTGCCTGGAACCCAAGCTGTCAAGAATTCCCCTTTCTCGACTGAGCTCACCAGGCAGCCCTCAGGGTTGGCTACTGCGGTCCTCCCGGTCACTGGCTTGCAGTCCTTTCCCGCCCCCACCCCACTAGCCCTTCAGCTCCTGGAAAGCAGGGAGCACAGTCCCTGCCCAGGCCCTGAGAAGGGAGGTGCGCGACAGAAGGCCTTACGGGTGAGGCTGAGTCAGGATTCCTGCCTGATGTGATCTGACCAGCGTACTTGGGATTCAGGCTGGGCCACATGCAAGGTATTTGGGTGCTCAGCTCTCTAGAAATGAGCCAGGAACAGGAAGCTAGACCGCCACATCCCTAGGGCTCGGCGGGGCACTCTCGGCTTGGACACCGTCTGCCAACTCAAAGCACACTTGAGATTGGCCTGGGACGTGGGGGCATGACAGGGAGCAGTAGGGAAAGAAAGCGGGACTGCTGTCTCAGGCTGGGTGCTCCAGAGGGCATCCTATTTGGCTAGGCGTTGAGTGGGGCCTGAAGTTGGTGACCAAGGAACTATGGGCTATGGGACCAGGGGCCAGCTCATCCCAGCTTCCGAGCAAGAGTGATTCCCAGAATGAACAAAGAAGGGGAAGGGCACAGGCATGTACTGAGCACCTGGTCTGTGCAGCATTTTGCTAAATACGCCTATCTCATTAATCTTCACTGTAACCTTGCGAGGTGAATACTATCATCTCCATGTTCCAGACACAGAAACCAAGGCCAACAGGTGAGGCAGGCCCTTCTCCATCATCAGAAGCAAGAAGTCCCACAAGTTATTCAGAGTCGGTGGCAAAACTCTAAATTTCTTCCCATGGAGGAGGAAACACAGACCATGTAGTAGAAAAAGGGTTTAAACAGGAAGCTCTGGCCAGATATCAAGACCATCGCGTGATGGCTCTGTCACCAGCCCCTGCCCCCAAGCAGGGACACTTAATACACAGGACAAAGCTCCACACTCCAGCTCTATTGCTGGGAGTCAAGTGGCATCAGCGGTCGAGACACTGGGCCTGGTACCAACTGATGCAGCCTCATCTCACTGTCCAGCAAACAGGGCCACTGACTGTTCGAAGAAAGCCAGGCTGGGTTTTTCTTCTGAATGCCAGAAAGCAGTGCAAAGGTCCCAAGGGTTGGGGAGGGAAGACAGAGTAGAAACCCAACCTCAGAGCAGCCCCTTCCTCGCATACGGTTTCCCTAAAAATCACAACAAATATCCTTGCTGCATAGAAGGCCTTAACCTTTCCGAATATTATTCACCTCCATCCCCTCCCTGCACCCACTTCCAGCTTGAGGAGGTGAGCGAGACAGGCGTTTCTAGACTGATTAAAAAACAAGTCACACACAGCACTGACAGGGGAGGGACCAGGACGTCAGTCCCAGTGTGTGCTTTGCACAGGACCACAGGTTCAACCGCACATGTGCCCATTCACAATCTACATACAGTTACATGCAGTCTAATTCCTGGGCTGAGACACTCTGGCTTCTGAGTGTGAGACCACAGTGATTGCCTCCATTGTCACGGAGGAACAGCAGCCGACACAGATCAAGCTCTTTTTACTTGCAGCTGCTGCGCTCAGAGCCTTACCTATATCAGCTCGTCTAATGCTCACAGTGCTGTGAGGTGGGTCCTGTGATCCTCGTCCTACAGAGGAGGAAGCTGAAGCCGAGAGTTAAGTAACTTTTGCAAGAAGAAATGGGATTCAGACCCAGGCAACCGGGTCTAGAGCCCCGCCTCTTAACCAGTCATGCTGAAGCCCCAAAGTCCAGGAGGCCTTGCTCCCAAAGAAACAGGTCCCGGCAGAACCCAGGACAGAGCCCCAGGCTGCGTGCTGTGGTCCATTCGGTGACAGGTGATGGATAAGTAGATATGGTTAATACCGGCTGACGTGTACTGAGCACCTACCACATGGCAGGCAAACAGTCACTGCTCTATATGCATGATTTAATAAAACTATAATTTTCTTTCTTTTTTTTTTTTGAGGAAGATTAGCCCTGAGCTTACTGCTGCCAATCCTCCTCTTTTTGCTGAGGAAGACTGGCCCTGAGCTAACATACGTGTCCATCTTCCTCTACTTTATTTGTGGGACGCCTACCACAGCATGGCGTGCCAAGCGGTGCCATGTCCACACCCGGGATCCGAACCAGCCAACCCCCGCAAAGGAAGTGGAACGTGCGCACTTAACTGCTGTGCCACCGGGCTGGCCCCTCTATATTTATATATTACACATAATTATATATTTATAAATATTTGTATTTGTTATATTTGTTATTTAATAAATAACAAAGCTATACGGTAGGTACTATCATTATTATTATTATCATCCCTATTTTGCAGCCAGGGATACTGAGGCTTAGAAGAGGTTAAGTAACTTGCCCAACAGTCCACAGCTGGTGGAGCAGCCAGGCCATGGGCCCTGTCTTTCTGACAGTCTGGGTTTTATCCATAAGGCTGTGTTACCACGAGTCCGCAGCCCACCGCCTTTCTGCCTTTTCTCTCAGGAGCCCTGGACAGGCTGAGAGAGGGGAATCGCGCAGTCCCTCCACATCCAGTGGCCTGGAGCGAAGGAGCTCAGCGGGCGCCGAGGATCACTGTCCAGCTGCTCCCTCTCCTCCTCCTTGGAAGGAGCTCGGAGAGGCGGGGGAGCTCACTGCACACCCCATGAGTACACAGGAAAACACTAAATTGGGGCTTGTATGTCCACAGCTGTACATTCATCCACAGCTATATTTTTATCCTCATGCTCATCCTGCTGACTCAAGCTCGATTTTTCTATGCACTTTTAGAATGAGTCCTGGCTGCATGACAAGCCTGGGAGGAGGAGGTAAGACAGGAATGAGGGGATCGGACCCATCCAACAGAAAGACCTGTGACTTCAAATAATGTCCCACTCACTCAGGAGGAGAAGTTGCTCTCTGGGTTTCCTCAGGCTTCCCATCCAGCCTGCACCTCCTGGGCCCTGCCCTTCCCCCCATATGCCAGCCTGTTCCCCAGGCCTTGGGCAGGTGAGCCCACTCCAAGGCTGTCCCGTCTAAAAGAGACCTGCTAAGGGCATCAGGAAAAGCAGCCGGGAGTCCCCAGGGCCTCACTCCCACCCCTGAGCAGCACTTCCAGGAGCCCAGGAAGAGTCACTCTCACCCTGGTCCACCGCCCATGCCGGCAGCGGGCTCTTCTTAGGCCCTGCTCCACTGGGATGGGTCTGCATAACAGCTGAAGGGCAAGTCCCCCCCAGGTACCCACCATGCCAAACTCCTCCCTACCCTCAACTCTGGCCCCTGGGAAAAGAGGAAGCAGAAGGGAGTGGCCCTGGGGAGGGGAAAAGCTGAGCAGGTCAAGTGCGGCCGTCGGGAAGATGGAAGCTGATTCAGAGGTCAAGGGCTAAAGCACCACTCAGGGCTCCAGGTCCGAGGGAAACAGGAGACCGCGAAGGACTGAGCCTCCCTCAGGAGAGAGCCTGCAGGTCCGGGGCGTCTCTGGCAGGCCACGCCGCCGCCTAAGCCAGAGCCCCGAGAAGCCCTAGCGGACGCCCAGGTCCCACTCGTCGCACCTGTCTGCTGATCTCAGAGAATTCTCCCCATCCCTCTTGAGCCCCGGCAGGCGAGGAGAAAACGCGGCCTCTCTGTTTCCTCCTCCCCTGAGGGAGGTCCGAGGCTGGGAAGGGGACACGGGAAGGCGCGCGCGCGCACTCTCACTCCAGCCTCAACTCTCTGCCCAGAGCCTGGCCCCAAGGCGACTGTCCGAAAGGGCTCGGGCATCTTGCCCTACCTTATTAACCCTTCACCCTTCCCCGAGCAAGCTGGCCCCAGCCCGAGGACCCCGCGGCGTCCCGGCCCCTTTCCCGGCTCCCAAGTCCCGACTGTGCGGTGACTCATCCTGCCCCTTTCCGGTGAAGCCGAGACAAGGGAAGAAAATAAATGCAACTTTCCAAAGAAAACTCTGCGGCGGGAGGCTGCAACAGGAGCGAGCGGCCGTCGGCCGCCGGCTGCCTGGCCCGGGGCTCCGGGGAGGGGCAGCACCCCGGCCTGGGACAGCGGGCATGCGGGCGCCTCGAGCGCAGCCCGCCCTCCGCGGAAGAAAGCACAGCTCGGCGGGGACCCGAGCGGACGCCCGGCGCTCCGCAGCCCGCCCGCCGCAGGGGCACCCGCCGCCCCGCCACCTCCTCTGGGATTCGCGGGGCTCGGCTCGCAGCGCCCGGGACGGCACCGCGCGGCCCCATCCCGTGGGGCGCCAAGCGCGCGACCCCGCGGAGTCCGGCCGCCCAGCGCCCATCCCTCTCCCGCGGCGGGATCATCTCCCCCGGGAGCAGAGGGGGCGCGCCCCTACCTGGCCAAGGCGGGCTGCTGTCACCCGGGGTTGGCGCGTGCAAACTCGTCCCACTGTCCTTCCCCCCCGACGCGCACCAGCCGGCGGCTTTTAAATCTCCAGGTTACTCCGCGGGGGGGAGAGAGCATGCGCGCTGGGGCTGCCAGGAGGGGGCGGGGCGAGGCGGGACAGAGGTCGGGGTGCTGGGAGGGGTGTGGAGGGGCGGGGCTGGTACCCGACGGAAGAAAGCGGGAGGTCTCCAAGCTGTCTTTGTAGCCCCGACCGCGACGGGCAGCCCCCGCGTGGCTCCCAGACTGCCCTATCATTACCTAGGGCGGTGCGCCGCCCCCTCGCCGCTCGCCGCCAAAACGTTTAGGGAAAAGCCACCCGGCTCCGTGGCACACCTCCCCTCCGGAGCTCGGCTGCGACCATCACCTGCGCACGCCGCTCTCGCCATCCCCCTCTTCCCGGGCAGAGCTGCCCCCCACCCATCCAGGACCAGCCCCTGACAGGCGATGTCACATTCTCCCTGAGTTACCCTTCCTACTGTTTGCTCTGAGGCGGAACGAGGTTCCTTATAGCTAACTCAATGCCCCTGCCTGAAGTTAAAAGCCAAATTCCAATGTTTCCTTCTCCTTAACGGTATGTATGGGTAAGAGAGGTTGATTGCCAGTAAAATGTTCCCTTTGTCAGCTTTTGAGCAAGATCCCCACAGATACCTGTTTCTAGAATGCCTTTGACAAGAATGGAACAATGCAGGTGGAGACAGAGAACTGAGACCCAGGCTGGCCTTGGGTGGGGGGAGGAGAGAGACCCAGTTTATGTGGATTGTTCAGTTGAATACCACAAAATCGCAAGAAGATGCCTTCGAAGGGGAGGACCTAGTTGGCTGCAGCCCTGGACTGGGCACTGGGGCAGTGGGTTCCAATGCTGGCCCTGCCGCCAACCAGGTGTGATGTGGAGCAAGTCCCTTCCACATTCTGGGCCTCTGTGAGAAGCAGGAATTGGCCAAATATGTCTACAGGCACCTCCAGCTGGGAGGCAGAGAAGGAAGGGAGATAGAGAAGGAAGAGGGACACAACAGAGCCCTGGGGGCTATGGGGAAGAGGGCTTGGGTGCAGGAGAGGGCAGAGAGAAAAATCAAGAATCCACCTTCTGAGTCGCTAAACAAGTTTAAATTGAAAACTCTGAGCACTGCCTCCCTGGGAGCACTCACCCTCCAGCAGGTGACCCTTCAGGGCGCCAGTGGCTTTCCAAAGCCTTTGGCATGACCATTTATGGCTAGCAGAAAGACCGGGGTGGAGTCCTGGGTCCCTGAGCTGGTGTCCCCTCTGCCCCAGAAAAGAGGGCAGGAGTCAGGGGGAATTCCAGGTCAGCTGGAAAGTTACAGAGTCAGGAGAGATGGGACGATAGTATTTTCCAGGCTTGGGGAAGGAGCAGGAGGGAGTTGTCCTGCCTCAAAGAAGTAGGAGCACTGCCTCCTCTCCCTGACTTTTGCACAGGCCTTATGCCTTGTGACATGGGGAAGGGGTTGGGGGAGCTCAGGAGGTGAGCAGACATCGTGGTGTGATATCCTGAACCGGACCACACCCAGAGGTCTGGCCACCTGCCTGAGTGCCTGGTCACCCCTCCCCAATGGAGGTGACCCTTTATTACCAAGCTAGGTGGAGGCACTTTCCAGGCCCTGCCCAGCACAGGGTGCCATAGTGCCCCCTGCTGTAAAAACACTTCCTCCCCCTTTTTCTGCTGGTGTAGACTTGTGTAATAATAATAATGGTAGTAGTTAACCATTACTGATTGTGCCAGGCACTGTTCTAAATGCTTTGCATGTATTTTCTTTTTAAAGATTTTATTTTTCTTTATTCTCCCCAAAGCCCCCCAGTACATAGTTGTGTATTTTTAGTTGTGAGTCCTTCTAGTTGTGGCATCTGGGACGCCGCCTCAGCATGGTTTGATGAGTGGCACCATGTCGGCGCCCAGGATCTGAACTGGCAAAACCCTGGGCCGCCGCAGAGGCAGAGCGCGCAAACTTAACCACTCGGCCATGGGGCCGGCCCCACTTTTCTTTTTTTTTTTAATTTTATTTTCTTCTTTTTTTTTTTTTTTCTGCTTTATCTCCCCAAACCCCCCCTGTACACAGTTGTATATCTTAGTTGCAGGTCCTACTAGTTGTGGGATGTGGGACGCCGCCTCAACGTGGCCTGATGAGCAGTGCCATGTCTGCGGCCAGGATCCAAACCCTGGGCCGCCACAGCGGAGCGCGCGAACTTAACCACTCAGCCACGGAGCCAGCCCTCCCACTTTTCTTGCATTAACTCGTTCAATCCTGACGACAAGTCAAAAGATGGGTATCATTTCTGGATAAAGAAACTGAGGCAATCCCTCAGTCCAATTCCTACTCCGCCCCCCTCCCCCAGCCACACACACACACACACACACACACATACAGAGTCTCTGGGCTCCAGAAACAAAGCAGAGGCAGCAATCCGTCATCTAGCCTGGACAGTGACTCCAGAGCCTTAGAGAAAGTCCTCGCAACACCCATACTACTCACAATGCTGTGTCAGTCTGCATAAGTAACAGCTTCTCTGGGCCTCAGTTCCCCACTAAGTCAGCTGTGGGAAAACCACTGTGTCCCCTTCCCTTTCCCCCTCCCTCCCCCACCATGCACAACCCTACTCCCCAGCCACTTCCCATTTATAG